GTCTGGGAAGTGGTGCACTGCTACAACTGCTCCTCAGGAACTGGGGAGAGAAATGTGGGATCTTTCTCAGGTCTTTCTGTAGTGATCTAGGTCCAGATGGATTTTCTTCTCTGTGCAGTTAGTCCTGCATGAATGCAGTCTGGAGCAGAGCTGTTGGCGTTGCTGTGGATACACCTTGGCCCAGCAACCTGCAGTTCTGGCCACTGTTTTGGGCTGCTTTGCTCTAAGGCAGGTGGTTCTGTGGCATTTTTATGGCAGGAAGATGCTTTAAAGCCTTTGGCCTTGGAGCTGCAGAGGTGTGAAAACAACCACCCACGCTGTCTCCAAGATGAACTGAACCCGATCCAAAGGAAACAGGCACATCTGCGTCCACAAGCTGCAGCTCCAAACAGGGCTGCGGTGTTGCCTGCTAAACCTGGAAAGAAAAGCAGTTAGGAGAGCGTTAGCTTTTCAGGAGCATCGCTTCGTGCGGCGCGTGCCTCGTGTTTGGGCTGTACTGTGTCTGATCTGGTGCAAGCTCTGACCGATGCTTTTTCCATGGTGAGAGCATTGCTAATACCTGTCTCCTCTCTGGATTATCTAGTGTTTTAATTGTTCAGTTCAGCTCACGCTGTGGCCTTTGCATCAGTGGGATCTCTAAACCAAGTCTATTTTTCTGCTACCATGTCTCTGCTTCTCTTGAATCATTTCCTGTCACTATGATAAATTCGATGGCCATGGACCCCCAGGGTCTCAGACCATTGCACAGTCTCATATCGATCACTTCTGTGCACAGCAGACCCTGTACAGGACTTTGGGGCTGGCACTAAGGTGAGCGTGTTGCTCGTAGCAGTAATGGGACTCTTGGTCAAGCTCTGTCCTCGTAAAGCATCAAAGCTTTATGTTCTAGAGGACCAATCAGTGTGATTATGTTACTGTTGTCTGGGTCAAGGAAGCCATCACTGCTTAGTATGTAATTTCTAAAGTAGCCTCAATGTTACTAGAATATCTCAAATGGTTTCTTGTCATTGGGCCTGTTTGGAGCCCCATTGTGGTGTGGGTGACACTCCCTTTCCAAGGTGCTGTCTTCACAGATGAGCTGTGCCTGGTGAAGGAAGGGTGGGTGTGCAAAGGAATAGGTAGTTATCAGTACTTACCCTTGCTTGGAGAAGATTTTATGCATTGGTAAGAGTCTTCCTTCCAGTTTTGTCAGCTCCCTGGGTTGCGAAGAACGAGGGATGTTTCCTCCTGTGCCACCCAGGCAGAAGTACCAGGGACTTTCTTACTGTGAATAGTTCTTATAACCTTTTGAGTCTGTGCAGCTCAGTAAGAGCTAGGGTGGCATGAATTAGGGTGACATTAATCGTGCACTTGCAAATTACTGCTTGTGCCCCTCACACTTTATGTTTGGAGGGGAATTGTCAGAGTATTTTCCATTTGAAGGTTTGAAAGACACATTTTGTCCTCGGTGGCTTTTGGCTTTAGTAGGAGGACTTATCTCCCTGCATGAAATAGTTCTCTTTAAAAGGATTTGATGAGGAGTTTTCTTTTGCTTTGTTTCTTGTGTGTTTCCGCTGCCTCCCACGGCACCACAGATGTTAGCCAAGATCCTGAAGGTACATTCAGCTTGACAGGTTCTGGGTGGAGGAAGTTCACAGGAGTCTTCTGGGAAAATGGATCCATTGAAAGGTAGAGAAAACATGGATATCTGAGCCCCATGGACCACTCCTGACTCACTGAAGTTATTTAAGGAAGGAAAAATTGTTTTGAAAGTAGCGATACTAGTGGACCTTAGGTCCTGGTGGAACATGATCCTTTGTCCTGCCCACCTTCCCATCCCACCAGTGGGCCAGCCAGCTGCAGGTGGTCTCTAAAAGCAGAGTCCTTCAGCCTGTTAGAGGTTCAATTGGGTCTTTTCCTGTAGCTAAGAAGCAAAAATGTGAATTAGCGATTGAAAATCAGTGCTTCAGTTCACAGATGCTGAGCCTGATACACCAGAGAAGCGCGAGCATTTCTTGAGATGGATGCTCAAGTTGGGCACCCATGCATTACACTGCCAGCTATTCTCATTTACCCAGCAGATTTTCCTTTGTTTGAATATTCTTGTTTAACATTTTGCTTGGTCCTCAAAGGTTTTTGCAGCTATTGTGATGATTCCCATTCACTTCATTCCTACTAGAAATTAATATTTGCATTGTAATGACTTGAACTGGATTACTGAGAAGGCTGATTGTGAGCTATAAGCACAGAAGAAAGTGCAGATCCCTTTTCCTAAAACTGCCAGTGCAATCTGTTCTCTCTCAGAGGTTTTCAGAGTCCCTTTATCTACACCGCAAGAGAAGAATAAAGTATAGCAAAACACCAGATAGGAGATTTGTTTGGGGAGGATGGCTCTGAAACCACTCAGAAACTGGGAATAGCTTCTTTTTTTTTCAGCTGAGTCTGCTTAGTCTGAAAACAAAGGTCACCCTGGCACTTTCAGACTTTGGAAACCTGTAATCCAGATTTGAATGTGGAGAGGGGTACCATCTTATTTAGATGCCGAAAAGCTGTGAGGTGCAAGTCTTTTAAAAAGGATAAGGGATTTTTTTTTTTTTTTGAGAGGTGTTAGGAGGGGGACTGACTGACAGATAGAAAGATCTGTGAATCGGGCACCGTTAAGACATCTCAAATTGGGCATCTGGAAATGGAGGCCCCTGAAATCTGTTGTCAACTTTTAAAATCTGATTCCCCACCCCCCACCAGCTTTGAAAGTTTGAACCGTGTTCTTTTTATCACATTTGTCATTCCTTAGCAATGAAGCTCTGGCATTCAAAATTTGGCTGACAACTTTGTGGGTATGAGCCAAAATGAAGTTCAACTTGCACCTTTCTCTGATGCACCCGGTGTTGTTCACAGCGAGAGGCAGAAGTCTGAACTAGAGGGACTCCAGTCTCATTCATTACGGCAATTACTATCTCCTCACTGATGCCAAAATTAAGCTTGTTTTCTTTATCCTAATGTAGGTGGACAGGAACTGATGAGGTGTACGCAACAGGAATGTTGAGAGAGAAAGTGCCATGTATAAAGCATTTCTTCTCAGGCTATTCCTTCATCTTAAATAATGTAAAGGTCATAAATCTCCTGGAAATAATGCAAAATCAGTGCTGCAAAAGGCTTAGAATGGTTCCAGGCAAGTTAAGTATTATTTTATAGAGGTTTAAGTCTAGCACTTTAAGGTTTGCTAATTCTAAATACATTTAAATGCACTTTTAAAGTAATTTAGATCTATAAACTGAATGTATAGGTCGAGTGACCTTGGAAGAACTTGGCCTTTGGGAAAGGAGCACGACTCAGAAATGAGGTCTGGATGTAAGTTCTGCTGGGCATGGCGTCTTTGTTCATGGCCAACTGTATGGATTGCATAAGGTATTTAGGATGTAAATTGAGTATGGGCTAGAGTCCAAGAGTGCCAAGTACCCATGCTGGATGGAAGCCCAACCATGAGTATGTTGTGCCAGGTTTTGTGGCAGTGTCATATAACTGTCCTTGGGCAAACCTGGTGCTCCCCCTTTGCATTTCTTTAATCCAAAGTTTAGCAGCAGATGGCTTGAGGATGCATTTTGAGAAGGCTCAGGTTTTGTCTCCTTGACTGGAGATTACCATGGCAGTATTTGTGCCCACAGTGCTGTTTACATTTGCAGTCTGAAGTCCTCCTGCTCTGACCACTTGAGATTGCATCTTCTCAGAGGTTCAAAACCTCAGGTTCTGCATTGTCGGGACGGTGCAGTAGCTGACAACCGCCTCTGAGAAGGACTGAGAAGTCACAGTCACTGAGCTTTTAAAACATCTAGAAATCCTACTCTGATGTGTGTGTGAAAGCACAAAGAGCTTCAGACTGGATTGCTCTTGGTTGGCTAACGTGGAGCGAAGGACTCCGCTTCCTTTGAGCAAACCATGAGGGCTGCTATAATTTAATTATTTTGGACCTATGCTGGTTAATTACAGCCCTTCCTGGGCTCCCCTGTGGGGTAATGATCTTTAAACCATGCATCCAGTTGTTTGTTCAGAGGAAATGTTTCAGTTTTGAAATATGTGGCATTTTTCCCTTCTATAGGTGTTGCTACGTTACCGACATAACTGTATCACTGTTGGTTAACTCACACATAAGTAAGATTTTTTGGGAGGGAGAAATGTTTCTGATGGAATTCAGTTCCCATTTACATGTGGAATTAAAGTCTGGTTTCTGGGTTTCCAATTGCAAATGCACAATGCGTTCGAAGAGGCGTCTGTATCTCTGAAGCTGAGGTTTGCTGAGTTGCCTTTTGGTGCCCAACTTTTACTGATTTCAACAAGACTTGAACTAGAGTTTGAATCCCAGAGATGTTTCTATGTTTCAGTTCAAATCTTAGGAAACTATGTGGATATGGGATCCCTAACGTAACACAAGCTTACAGTGTTTTGCTCAAAAATCATTAATAAATGTTTTTGAATGAAGTAGAAGTTCCTGATAAATTCTTTAAGTCTTTCTTCTTGCCAGTGTGTTGACTCAGTAGCTGACATACGATGTTCTCAGGGTTGATTCTTGTGCTTTGTGGGGGAAAGCACTTGGAGTTTCTGTTGTCCTGTCAAGGAACTACAAGTTTGCACAGATTTTTTTTTTTTTTCCTCTGAGGTCATTAGTGAACATACAAGGGGACTTTATAAATCATATCTGAGCCTATGTGGTAAGCAGGAAACGAGCAGCTACATAAGCAGTGGCCAGTTTTGAATGGGAGAGATGGAGATGGTAAGCCTCGCTGTTGTGAATCACTGTCAGTGGCTACAGCGGAGCAACACCTTCCCTTATTTTGGGATGTAACTGGGTGCACGGGTTGCCCAAGGAACTGGACAACAAACCAGCTTTTCTTCTGGTCTGGGTTGCAGTTGTATCTGAAACTTCAGAGCTGGTAAATGGGGAGGAGATGTCACTAAAATACATGTGGCAAGTCCATTGCAGCCTGCTGTGCTAAGCATTTCTTTTCTTTCCTCCCCCTCCCCAGCAATCAGAGAGAAATACATGGACTGGACGGAGTTTCTCATACACGATTTGACCGGCGCTCGTACTGCACCTGCAAATTTACTGGAAGGCGTATGTATTAGATTGCAGTTTCTATCCAGTATGGTGTCGTGGTGTGCATGCTGCAGCAGTGTTTGCGCTCCCGACCTGTAGGGCTGTGTGCTTGCAGCGTCTGTGTGCTGGCAGTCTGATCCAGCGCTGGCCAAAAGTCCGTGACGACGTTGCCTTGATTCTGCTGGCTCTGCTTCTGACCCAGTGATGGGTAGTTTGTTTTGCCTTTAAGCTGGAGGGTGGTGCTTGGAAAAGTTGGGTGCTCAAAAAAGGCTGGGTGGTGAAGGAGAGCACGGAAGGGAGTCTGTAGGAAGGAGGACACAGCTCTTCAGTGTGCCCCATTAGATCCACCGAACTGGTGACCTGAGCTTTCAAGTCAGGACGCATGGAGAGGGGGTGCAGTAGGTTGATGGGGACCGTTGTCAGGTTCATGTGGATATGGAAATAACTCCTCCAGGGACATTCCCTCCACCTAAAACCAGTCAGATTTAGCAGGGAAGTTGAGTGAGATGGCATCAGTCGTTGGTAGTCGGGAGAGAAGAAGGGTCTGGGTTTTTTTAGGTATGCTTCTATGGCCAAGAGCCTAGTCTGTGCAGCATATTGACAGGGCAGCTTACGTCTGGGGCAGCCTCAGTTTGCCTTGAGATCTTGGACAAAAATCCTGCAGATTCACCTTGAAACTGTGGGAGCGGGGCACTTTCTCCATTGGGACCTGCACTGCTCTTGTGCCGATGCTGTGTGGGCATTGGAGAGGAGACAGCCTGTTTTGCAGGAGATAATTCTCACTTCCCCTCTCTAGTTAGGCTGAGAGTGAAGGCATACAGGCAATTTACCTTTCTATAAGTGCTCACGTTGGCTTTTTGGGAGCAAGTGTGCATCCAGGCACCGTTTTTGATCATTTTGTCCCTGGTCATTCCCACCAGCCACAGCTGCATCGTTTTTTCCACACGCCTGTGCAGTACGGGCTGCCTGGCAGGAGAAATTAATAGTGTATCATCAGGGATTCTTTTTTTTCCCCCCACTCTGTTAGCTGAACAGCCCTTGCACGCCTAAAATAATGCAAGTCCTCAGGGCTGCTGCATCCCCATTCCTGGACCGCTCCCGGGTGGCATATGCAAAAAGCTGGTGGTGTCCAACACCCATGTCTGGTGTGTGCCGATGCCATCGCGAACCTCTCCGTTCCCTTTCTGCAGGTAGAGAAAAGAGGCAGCCCCAGGCAGAAATGCAGAGAGAGAAAACATTGTGTTGGCCTGAAGCAGTTTCTGACCCTTTTCTGGTGTTTTTTTGCAATGTATGTCCTTAGTGCTGTCTGTGTCGTGCAATGTATGTAACCCCCTGTCGACAGATTTGCTGTTGGTGAGCGCTGCAGATTGTTGTTATACTGTTAAATCAATATGTAGTGATACTTTTTTTTTTTGTAACATGCTAGCTATGCATATAAAGAGTTCTTGTGTTATGGTAAATGTTAATATTTCATGCAAGCCAATTATTAATCTTAGCCATTCAGTTCTCAGGGGTAAGTGACAACCCATTGGCTTAAAATTCAGCACACAAATCAGGGAAGCAATATTCATTTTTATACAGCCAGTGATTTATTATAAGTTAAAAGTTAAATCATTACACCATCGTTTTGTATTAAAGAATGTTTTGTTGCAATGAAGCGGTTGTATGAGAGGAAAAAACCCATTAAAGTAGATTCCTATTCTATTACTAAATTCTGACGCTGCATTTTACCATGAAATAATATTTGAAAGCGATTATACAGGTGCTTGTAGCTTATATTATAGAGGAGTGGTGTATAATGGCAAATATATTCTTCTGAGAAATATGTATTAATCATAGAGCTGCTTAAAACTACATGTGATAAGGTTTTAGTTCATTTTAATTACATTTTTTACCAAATTCTCATTCTGTTGCCCGCATTTTTGCATTGAGAAGTGTAGTGAAAATGATTTGCATTTCAAAATTTGGAATATTTTCAAAATTCATAGGAAAGGGAACTTTTTTGAAAAATACGGCTTTCGCCTCTTTTTTCCTAGCCACCCCTAGAAAGAAGTGTCCTGGTCTGACTCTGATTTACAGAATTAAAATTAAAAAAAAAATACTGTGAAAGGTTTATATTGTTTAATTAAGTAGAACTGGGACAAACACACAGGAAAAAAAGAAGTCCTTGTTTTTAATTTATTTTACTCTGCTTAGCATCTCCTTTGGGGACCAATGCTCCCAACTCTTGGGGTGTTTTTTAGTGCTGCTTTTAAAGCCTTGGAATCAAGAAATTGCCTAAGAATTGGAACTTGCATTTAATAAAAAAGAAAAAAAATCAACATTATGTTACTGTAGAAAAGCTCGACAGCACAGAGATGCTCACAATCACAAAACAAAAACACTGAATCCCAAAGGTATCGTTCTGCAAAGCATCTCATGGTTTTTAATGCCTGCAGTTGGCAGCTTTGCAGGTGTAAAGTTAAGCACATGTGTAAATGGTTGCAAAACTGGGATCACAGAAAATAACTGCGTATAATAAAATAACCTCAGTCACTGGGGTTTTTAGGCATGGTGGCTTGAACCAACAAATCCTGTGTGCCTGGGGCGTGGATCCCAAGACCACTTAAGCTGGTGGGAACCTGACATTGCTTTTGGGCTTTGGAGTAACCACCGTAGACTCTTGTATCCATGGCTGTGGGGAATAATTTGCTCTACATGCCAGTAGGAATCAAATAAAGCCTTTGGCGGGAAAGATCCATGCACAGAGGGCAATTTTCAGGATCGTACCCAAAGTAGTCACCTTTTAGGTAAATGCCGTGTCCAGTCCTGTGATTGGTTCTTACCAGCTGCAATCAATGAGAATTTGGTTTGAAATCCTCCAATATAACCGGGCTTTGAGTTGTTCAGGAGCATCCTAAGTGGATGTGCCTTAGGAGCTGTTCCACCTTTTATTATTCTTTTTTGTTGTTGTTGATTATGTCAGTTGAGAAATTAGCACAACTGTTGTTTTCTGTTTTACTTCTGAATTTGCACTTGGAAGACATTGGGTAAAATAGAAGAAGAACAGACTGTTTGCTGATCGCTTGGATGATGGTGTGAAAAACAAAAATAATCTTCTGCTGTCATCTGTTTCCTTGAGAAGTCTTCAAATAAAGTTTAAAATAAGGAGTTTTGCTTCTATTCAAACAGCCTCTGCGAGGAAAAAACCCTGTAGACCTCATTACAGTTGATTCCTTAATAGAGCTGCAGGATTCCCAGAATCCCTTTCAGTACTGGATAGTTAGTGTGGTTGAAAATGTTGGAGGAAGATTACGCCTTCGCTATGTGGGATTGGAGGAGACTGAATCCTATGACCAGTGGTTGTTTTACTTGGATTGCAGACTTCGACCAGTCGGTTGGTGTCAAGAGAATAAATACAGAATGGACCCACCTGCAGGTAAAGAGCCTCCCAAAAATGCTACTTCACTTCGTGGCATTTACTGATGTTTTGAGATACGTGTGCAATGCATTTCGTCTTCTCCAGCATTCACATTGCTTTTACAGTAGTTTCTAGCTGTAACACAGATGGCACGTGAGAGCCATCTAATTTGGGTTCAAAGTGGGTCAGGTAAACTGTATTAAATTTATTTAATAAGTTCAGTTTACCTTAGCACACTCCTGGAAGGAGTGTCCAATAAAAGCAGTTTCATGCAATTTTCCACCAAGAAGCTGATGGGGATAGTCCAAGGATGTGCCTGGTTGCCCAGGACTTTTCAGTGGCCAGGTCTTCCTGGCCATACTGTAGAGCTCCTGGTGAAGGCCTCACTGGGAACCAGTCTTCTACTGTCCAGATCAAGTCCTAGGTGACACCTCTCAGCATACACTAGGCTCCATTTGCTTTCCCCTCAACCAAAGACCTCTTGCCCGTTTGTCTTTCCATCTCCACACACATTTCTCTGGGTAGCAGTAGACCTCCATGAAATTTCCCAGAGCTGGAGAAAGTGTTTTGGGACCCTCATGGTTCCTCTAACACAGGTCACAGAATCACAGAATTACAGAATATTAAGTGTTGGAAGGGACCTCGAAAGATGATCTAGTCCAACCCCCCTGCCAGAGCAGGACCACCCAGAGCAGGTCACACAGGAATGCGTCCAGGTGGGTTTTGAATGTCTCCAGAGAAGGAGACTCCACAACCTCCCTGGGCAGCCTGTGCCAGGGCTCTGTCACCCTCACAGGGAAAAAGTTTTTCCTTACGTTAATGTGGAACCTCCTGTGCTCCAGTCTTTCATATTCTTCTGTTACATTGCTGTACATCTGCCAAGTGAGACCTGCCTTGTTGTGTAACCAGTCAGAAAGTGCAGTGAGGGTGCTGGGTTTGTCTGCCTGTCCATGTCAACCTGCCCATTGAGGGCTTATGGGGTGTCTGTTGCTAGAAGCTAAGAAAATACTCCTTTGAGTAAGGGTAGGTGGGGTCTTTCAGGTTTGAAAGACCACAGATTTTGTCCTGCATTTTCTCCAAGGTAGTAAAGTCTTTGCAAGTATGTCAGACCAGATTCAACATCAGGAGATTGTAACTTGGAGAAGCAGCTCTCTAGAGTTGAGTTTAGTGTTCAGACCAGCTTGGGTGGAGAGAGACAGGGACTGCAGTTAAGTCAGGCTGAGGTCAGAAATTGGAAGTCACAAATCCAGGGGCAGGAGATGTTCAAGGGACGGGATCCAGGTAGAAGAATCGGGCACAACTGGGCTGGGCCAGGAGGCTGGGCAAGAGCAGAGTTTATGGGTCAGCTGGAATCAGACTCCAAACAGTGGGACTGGGTTTGGCAAAAGGAGCAGGGTCAAGATGGCAGGGAGAGAACGATTGCAAGACTGAGCGTGGGGGGAGACTAAGCATTACTCAGGTTTAGCAAGCGGGATATGGATTAGGGACCGCAGCACGCAGTAGGGGCTTAGGGCTGCTTGAAGCCTCCTGGAGGAACACGTGCAGAGGCATTCACTGGCAGGTTCTGGGGCTGGCTTTGGAGATACGCTTCCATCCAGGCTACAGTGGGGGATGACTGGGAGAGTGAATCTTTACCGCCACCCAGTAATGGGCAAAGCTTTGTCAAAGTCTCTGAGCAATTAGTTTTCTCTCTACTCAGGGCATATGGCTCTGCATTGGTCTGACTTGAGTTGGCTGAGTTGATTCAGTCAAGTTGGTTGACTTCTCTTGAAGTTAGGGGTCTGGTTAAATATGACAGCTTAGACTGTTGCATGCATGGTCTTCTTAGGGGTAGAAGGTGTGCAGCATCTGTATTTTTCATAAAGCTGTGGCTTGTACTTGGGGCCACAAAACTGTTTGCCAGTTCCTGTGGAGCATGTCCCCCACTTGCTAGCCGTTTGCACCTCCAAGCTGGATGCCCCAGGACTACCGTTTCCCTTGAGAGATGAGGTGCTTTCTTGGTTAATGCACAGGTTTTGGCCCAGCAGATGTGTTCCACCTTTGTCCAGGTCTGTGCCTCATTTTCCATGTGCTGTGGGTGAAGTTTTTCCAGGGGTGTCAAATGATAGCAGAAAGGTAGCCCTCCTTTGGGTGGGTATTTCTGATGTGGCTTCCGTCCATTACACCTGATTCAGAGGGGTTACCCTGATATTTGCAGTAGTCGTGTTCACAAGTCTGTCTGGGTCTTGGGTCTAACTCAGGGTCTCGAATGCTTTTTGGAAGTGTGTGTTTTTCTTCTCTTATAGGTAGTAATCAATGTTCCACATCACTTCTAAATTAGATGCGAATGCTGGAGAGCATGAGTATCACTCGCTCTGTTATTTTACAGAGTTATTTGTGTTACAGAGAAACACTTTTTCATTGACTTTGAAGCCTCTTGTCCTGTATAGGTTTGGTGAATCAATACAGAAATGGCCCAAACGAGATTTGTGCTGCTTCTCTTGTTTATTCCATTCTCTTTCTACTCTCTCCTCCTTTTATCCTGTTATGCTTACTTCTCTATAGATTCCCCACCCCCTCCGTTCCTTTTCCCCTCCGTTCCTT